AATGATGATGACAACAAATGTACAAATGTGCTTGACACAATGGATGGATGGATGGATGGATGGATGGATGGGTGGATGGATGGATAGATGTAAAATGATTTTTAAAAAGAAAACAAGTGCTAGAGAGGGGGCAGTGAGTTTGCAACTGTCCTACACTGCTGGCGAGTCTGGAAATGTGTGCAACTGTGGGAAGTGTTCTGGTACTAACTCAAACAACTGTGGATAGAAATCCCATACGATACAGCAATCCCTCAGGGATGTTAGAAATGCCATTTTTGAAGAGCACAAACTTCTTCCCGGAAAGCACACAGAGCTGGCAACATTAACAACAGAGTGTACAGATCTACATGAAGAGTAAGTCAGGAAACCCTAACTCCACCTTTTTAAAAAAGGTTTCTATAATTTTGGAGTAGTAGTTTTTGACTCATCCTCACCTTTAATAGTACATGCCCCACAAGAAAGATAAAAGCATCCACACTACTTTAAATTTACAATTTAATGAGAGTAAAGAATGATAAGCAATAACTAAAACAGATACCAAGGAATTATAGCATTGAAGACACTTAGAAAAGGACTGACACGCATGCACAACAGTTCTAGCTTACTTTCTTCACATACAATTGAGAAGTAAAAGAAGGAAGATATCAAAATCAATTTGGGGTGTCAAAAAGGGTTTTTAAATCATGATGGCATTCAAAAGTGGCATAAAGTCACGTACTTCCAGCTTGGTCTTATGACACATGGAATAGAAAAAACTATTATACTCTTTTAAAGAAGCCCTGGTGGCTTAAAAGTTAAAACACACAAACCTGCTAACCGAAAGGTTGGTAGTTCAAACCCCTCCTAGCTTCAGGCAAGGAAGAACTGGCAGTCTGCTTGAGGAAAGATCACAGCCTAGAAAACCCTAAGGGGCAGGCGTTTTCCGTGACGCGAGTTCTATGTGAACTGAAGAGCAATTCAAAGGCCCCCAACATTACGTTCTTCAAGACTTAGACATGGGATGTACGGTATAGAAGTACAGAGACTCTCTTTGAACTGTTCCAGTTCATCTGACCAAACCAACATGGGCAGCGATCAGAAGTAAAACGAGACCCAAAATGGGCTAAAAGCTAGCGAGAAAATGACACACTTTGTGGGAGATAAACTATATCAGATAATAACATGCTTACCAAATCTGCTCATTTCAGAATGACTCCAACATTACAACAAGTATATAGTCTGACTGTTAACTTGTCTTCCAACTGACTATCTTTGGGATAGACACCTGATGGTCTATGCTGCTATCTGGCAGATTCCCCAATTACGCGAGTTTTACGTCATTGGAAATGCATGAGACATAAGATGGGGCAAGGGAAACATAAATGAATGAATACAAGGGGCCACAAAGTTCCTAACTATGTTGAAAATCCTCAAATATCTAACCGTTTGCTCAGCAGTCATCTTTCATTTTGAGTACTGGAGTAGTTACCTATTGCTGTTATAAAAGAAATCCCACAAGTGGACAGCTTTAACAAACAAATTTATTTTCTCCTAGTTGGGGAAGCGGAAAGTGTCCATTCATGGCAGCGGCTCTAAGGGAAGGTCCATCTGTGGGCCCAGAATTCCTCAGAGACCTCCACGTGTCTTCACGTGCTCCAGGGCGTGGGGGCTTCTCAGCATATGGACTCCCAGGGTCATCTTCCCTGGTAGTAACGAGGTCACCTCTCTCTCTGCTTTTATCTCCCTCCCTTTACTCCTTGAAAGATAAAGAGTGGTGAAGGCCACACTAAGGAAATTCCCTTTCTGAGCAAAGTGAAGGTGGGCATCCTACCCTACTTCTTTAACCACTGACTCCATGATCACACCAAGGGGGATGATCACCTCATTGAATAACTGCCAAATGGAAAAGAAAAAGAAAGAAAACTGCCAAATGACACAACGGCTAAAGCACTGAGAACATGGCCTCATCAACGAGGTACATCTTTTGGGGTGACACACTCAATGCATGACGAGTATCTAGGAAATCCCAAACACTGTGCATGACCCGGGGATAGGGAGAAAATAAAGGGTGCAAATAAAGTTCAGCAGGCAAAAATGTAAATAATTAGAGATAATATTGTGAAGTGAATAAGGAAAGATTCCCGCAAAGAACAGGGAAGACTCTTGCCTAGAAAGACTGACTCGGTGGCTACAAACAGTGACGTGAAACCTGGACAAGCAGTGTTGGGTTCTGCTGTACACATGGTCACGAGGGTCAGCCCGCACGCAAGGGCACCTAACAACAAGGCTTGGTCTGGTACACATACTCACACAGTACGCACACGACAGAGTGTGTGTGCTGGCTGTCCGAATCTTGCCGATGTTAAGTTATAACAGAGACATTGGGGGTTCTCTGATAAAATTCTCGCCTTCCATGTGAGCGATTCGGGTTCCATGTCTGCAAATGGACATCACGCACAGATACCACTCATTTGTCCGTGGAGGACTGAATGTTGTTACTACACTGAATTGGTTTCAGCAGAACATCCGGACTAAGAGTAGAGAAAAACGCCTGCCCATATACTTCCAGAACTGACCCACTTATACAGTAATCCACTGCTGTCACTGATTCCGATTCATAGACTCTACAGGACAGAGTGGAACTGGCCCAGGGGCTTCTGAGGCTGTCAATCTTTGCATGAGCAGACCCCTCATCCTTGATTGCTGTCCATGCAGTTGGCAGTCGAATGCTTACCCCAGTACACAACCAGGCTCCTCGGAAAGCCTAGTAGATCACCACGATCCAATCTGGAGAGGGCAGCAATTTGTTCTGGAGGATACGGGGTTGTCATGAGTTGGAGGGCCAATTTGACAGCAGCTAACAAGTTCCAACAGTAACTCCCCACCTCTGCAACTATAAACTACTACCTATAGATTTTAGCATTAATCAAAAAATCAGTGGTGCAGAGACTTACTTAAATTGTGCAAATACAGCAGTCTTAATAATGAGGATTCAACCACATTAACAAAAATAACTTTATATGAGCAGGTTTCAGAAAGTACTTGAAAAAAACAAAGTTAAAAGATAATAGCTACAAACTTCTGGAAGCCCCGTCGTATTTGTGGCAGAATTTAATGCAGGGAATAGGCCACAGAAGAGACAGAAATGGTAAAAAGTCAAACGAGCGCAATGAAGCAACCAGAGATCAGCAACAGTAGGAAAGCGCTCTGTACCTAGACTGGAGGACAAAGGGAAGAAACAACATCTCCAGATGAAGCTGGAGCCCTACTAGTCTGTACAGAGACAGATGGACCTTGAGAGGAAACGTTACCACTACCAGTCACTGCCCAAGGCCAACAGGGTAGGAAGATATTTCCTGTCCCAATTTAGAAATGCGACCTGCAAGAGTCACCTCTCTGTGGCAGGGAGAACAGAGAAAGGGCTCTCAGAGCAAGTAAGCCCAGGACATGCACAATACTTACTCTAGGAAATACTATGTTGCATCAAAACAGTATATTTTCTTCTTAGAGTTTAAGTATGTTAGATAATTAACTTACGACAGATTTGGATTATCTTCTGTTAAATTATTTTCCTTTCTTGTCAAGCACTTATAGAAAAAGCTACTAAAAATGTGACTTCGTTCAACAAGTTCATCGGATGCCTTTTCCAATAGAAGATACCTGTAAAGTAGAAACCCCACAGATGTTAACTATCTTTAAAAGCTTCTACCTAGTCATAATCCCAATTATTATGTGTTCTGGAAATCTTAAACTTTTATATTCAACTAGATGGAAAGTAAGCCAAAGTTCTTGCTATTTACTGATTTTAGTTTTTAGTTTATTTGGTTATCTCACCCTCTATCAAAATCACTTAAAGCAGAAATTGTCCATATATCCATTCATTTAAAAAATACTTATAAAAAACAAATTTCTTTCATGTGCTAAGCACCATGTTCAAACCAGATGGGAAAAATAAGAAAAATAGAACCTGTCCCCATGAAGTTTATATTCCAGAGGGGTGGGGCTAGAAGGAAATGTTAGTCCAATGGTGATGCAATCAAATGTAAAACTGCAACTATTTTACTCTAAATCAATCTAGAAAAATTTACATCTCTAAATCCTTAGGCCATTCTTACACTAGAATAGCGTAAGCTCAATCACTTAGTAATTAATACTTCAAAATTAGAGAACTCAGTTATTCTTAATACTGGATATGGGTTCAAGAATGAACTTACGCGTACTAAAACACTTTTTTTTTTAATTAAAAAAAATCAGAATGCGAAAATGTTTTATATGTGGTTGTGTACTCTCTGTAAAGGGGAAACAATGAACCCTTCTGGGGTTCCCAAATGGGTATTTTGATCTGAATGGTGATTTCATGAGTGTATACATACGTGACCATATGCATAGATAACAGTGCTGTACAGTTACGCCTGGGCAACAGAGCAAAAAGCACCAGAAATAGGAGGAAGATACAGAATGTGTGGGTGGCTAAATGGCCTCCACGAACTAGATCCCTTGCCACAGGGCCAGAAAAACTAGATGGTGCCAAGCTACCTTACTGAACATTTGATCAGAGATTCTCTAGAGAAACTGATCACAGGGGGTAAAATTCAGAACAAATTTTAAATCTTAATAGACTCGACCTATCTGGAGTCATGGAAGCTGGATGAGCCCGTGAAACTGTTGCTCTGAGTTAACCACTAAACCTTCAACCAAAATATCCCCTGAAGTCTTCTTAAGATGAAACAATAATTTAGTTTAAATAGTTAAAAAAAGAAAAAAACCGCCTGGCTTGACCATTGTGCTCTTTCAAGAATGACTTCTATGGGATCAGATTCAAAATAGCAACTCAAAAGATTAAATAAGAACCTTAGGAGTTAGCAAAGTCGTGTCGACAGGGGAGAACAAGCCAGGAAAAAGAGGTGAGAATGATCGCACAAATCAAAGAAGGTAATAACTGTCACTGTGTTGCACAGAAACAACTGAATGTTTTGCTGTGTATATTCTAAGCAGCAACAAAATAAAATGATTAAAAAGCACTCAACGTGCAAAGCAGAGAAAAAAAAGATTTGCAATAAAAAGAAAAGCCAGACAATTGAAAACAACCCAATACTGACAAATACATTAGAATAAACAGAAAATGGTATTACAACCATTAGTATGGCTGCATTCCATATCTTCGGAAAGTTAGACAACAATGACTGAACAAAACACAGTAAAACTTCAGTTAAAAATAAAGCAGGAAATATTAAAAACTGAAAAACTTTAAAATGAGTCAAAAGTGAGATCAAATTATTAGGTTATTACATTTTAAGTTAATTGCATCTGCTAAAATCAACTTTACAAGGCTCTGTATCTGAAAGCCAGGCTATTCACATCCCTCAACTAGGTCAGAGGAGATTACTGTAGGCTCAAACTCTGTGGGGACCCTGCAGATGAACTTTGGGCTTCCACTGTCATTCCTAGCTTTCTGCAAGCCAGGTGTTAACTGTTTGTTTCTTTTAAAAATGAAATAGTGAGACGGACTTTTCAAAGGACTTTATATTCCTTAACAATACAACAGATAATTGAATAATGCTGCTTAAAGTGATTTCTCAGTACTTCTATCATCACACTAATAAAGTAGAGAAATTGTGTGGGGGGGGTTTTAATAAATAAATTAGTAATGAAAACCACAGTGGCTCTTCAGAAGCACACAAAGGCGCTGCACCCAGCTCAAGGAAAAGTGGAGGTACAGACGGTGCGTTTACAGCCGAGGGACAGCACAAGAGCAGTTCGACTCTAGGGCCACTGGGAGCTGGAATCACCTTCACGACACTGAGGTTTTGAGCTAGCTACAGTATCTCAGAGGTAGAAATATTGAACAGCAAAACCTGTAAAACAAATGAAAAGGATCACCTATCATTGACTTACTTAAGATAGAAATCAATGATTACATCATTAAGAAACTCTCCTTCTTCTAAGCACTCTAGGTCTTCATTAGTTACTCCTAATCCCCCTTTGGTAGGTGGTGGAGGGTATACAATCAACCTGAAAAAGTAAAATTAAGATTTAAGTAAACCGACATTAAAAATGCTAGTGTCAAAGAGATCTGCTACATGGACAGTAACATGGCAGTGATATTCTATAACTAACAACTGTAGGGTACAGTATTTGGCAGGAGAGAGCACTTAAATTTTACTTTTCTTTCCACAAACTACTAATGACATTCTCATCGAGGATCATCTTTTTCTTTCCAATCCTTTCAATGTGGGTTAATCTCAGTTATCTGACTAATCCATAAACTATAGCTCACAATCGGGTATAATACCACTGAGGATGTATCTCTTCTACACAATTCTAAATTTTGAAAAGGCTCGTGTAAACAAAAATTCAAAACGATTAAAGAGCTAGCTGTGAAGACCACAGTCTTAAAGAAAATGTAGGGCTAACTGTTGGGCCTAAAAGTGGCCCAGCCTATCTCTTAAAAATTGTTAATCTAATATAGAAGAAAAAAATATAGTAAAACAAAAAATAAATGGGACTTCACAAAATTAAAATAATTATTAATCAAACTATTTTACAGGAAGAAAAGGCAATCCCATATTCATAATAATCTAATAACCAAAAATAAAAAATAGCAGGCATAAGTACTAAGTTCTTTAAAACTATCAAATGAGTCCCAAAGGACATTTGTCCACAATCAAAAATAAGAAGGAAGAAGAGGCAAGGCAACCAGGTGGCTTGAGACGAGGCCTCAGCCTGGAGAAGGGGGAACAGACACTGCGGAGAACGCAACCAGTCGTGGAGTCACGGGTGTACAGCTGACTGAACAGAAAGTCAACTGTACGTATCAACTTCTACCTAAAGCACAATAAAATATTCAAAAATCCAACCAAAATATAAATAAGATTTTGACAATTTAACAAAAAATGATAAAAACTCCAGTATTAATATGGGCAAAGAATTTAAATAGTTATGTTCACCAAAGACAACACTAAAATAGCCACCAAACATGAAGAGCAGCTCAGCATCATTAGCTATCCAATCTAAACACCAACCTCACTGCCATTTAGTCCATGTCAACTGAGGTCCTATATCGACCTACAGAATAGAGCAGAACTGCCCCAGTGCGTTTCCAAGACTGTCAACTCATTATGAACGTAAAAAACTTCGACTTTCTGCTGTGGGCCAACTGGTGGTTTCAAAATGCTGGCCTTGTGGGCAGCAGCCCCATGTGTAACCTGCTACATACAATAACCCTTAGATAGAGAAAGCACATACACACATACATATTTGTGCATAAATACATATAAATACTCAAACAAAATAGCAAACGTAACACTTTTCTTCCTTGAGGTATGTGACATAGATACACAAACTACATGTATGTGACCAACCTCCTATAAAACTAAACACAGTACTTTTTAACTTACTGTTGTTTCAGGCACCTTTTAGACTACACCACCAAGGATCCCCTCATAAGCTATGAGACAGATGCAAATCAAAAGCACACGAAAAGACCTTTTCACTCCCACTAGCACTTGTCTGTCAGGTCGTTGCACTGTGGTGGCCTGGGTGTGGCTGTGATGCAGAAGCTAAGTCACTGGTACTTCAAATCCCAGCAGGGTTATTCAAAGTGAACAAGTTTCAGCGGGGCTTCCAGGCTAAGGACAGACAAAGGAGGACTCAGCTCCCCACTTCAGAAAAAGAAGTCTCTGAAACCTTTTTGCAGAGCTTTGGAGCACTTGCAAAGATTGAAGGCCTAAGCAAAAGGAGCGCTGTTGGAAACACTGCCTGCAGATGAGCCCCTCGGGTTGAAGGCACTCCCATGTGACTGAAGAGTAACCGACTCCTGAGAGGGAGCGGACCCTGGTGAGCAGAGCCAGCTGACATCTGTGGGAGTAGAGCCTTTGGGGTCTTCATTTGCTGATGGTGCCTGGCTATCAAAAAATATAGCATCTGGGGTTTTAAGGGCTTGAAGATAAACAAGCGGCCATCAGCTGAGAAGCAACAAAACCCACATGAAAGAAGCACAGTAGCCTGTGTGATCACGAGGAGTCAATGGGATCAGGGATCAGGCATCAAAGAAAAAAAAAAATCATATCATTGTGAATGCGGGGGAGTGTGGAGTGGAGACCCAAAGCCCATCTGCAGGCAACTGGACACCCCCTTATAGAAGGGTCGCAAGGTAAAGACAAGCGAGACAGCGTGCAGTATAGCACCGATGAAACATACAACTTTCCTCTAGTTCTCTAATGCTTCCTGCCCCCCCAATATCATGACCCCAATTCTACCTTACAAATCTGGCTAGAACAGAGCATGTACATGGGTACAGATAAGAGCTGGAAACAGGGAAACCAGGACAGGTAAACCCCTCAAGACAAATATTGAGAGTAGCTATACCAGGAGGGTAAGGGGAGAGTGGAGGAGAAAGGGAGAACCGACAACAATGATCTACATATAACCCCCTCCCAGGGGGATGGACAACAGAAAAGTGGGTAAGGGGAGATATCGGTCAGTGAAAGACATGAGAAAATAAGAACAATTCATAAATTATCAAGGATTTGTGGAGGGGTGGGGATGGGAAGCTGAAACCAAGGGCTCAAGCAGAATGAAAATGTTTCGAAATTGATAATGGCCACAAATGCACAAATGCGTTTGACACAATGGATGGATGCATGGATTGTGATAAGAGTTGTACGAGCCCCAAATAAAATGATTTTTTTTTTAAAGGCAAGAAAGAAAAAAAAGATCAAAGTGGATGACAGAAGAAACTCTGAAACTTGCTCTTAATTATAGGGTGGCTAAAGCAAATGGATGAAGTCATGGGGCTGAACAGGAAATTTCAAAGAGCAACTTGAGACAATAAAGCCAAACACTCTAAGGGTATGTGTAAGGACCTAGGGGGAAAAAGCCAAAAAGGAAAGGCATGGCAGCTGAAACGGAAAAAAAATCAAGAGAAAATTTGCCAGTAAGTCCTACGTCATTGGAAAATGTTCGGGCAGAGTGGCACCCAAAGGTTCACCACTGTCCCAACACTCTCTCTCATGGGCACAAAGCTTGACCTGCGAGAGGAGACGATAAGAAGCAGCTGACCCCCATCACCTACCATTAGAGCCTGGCCATGGATGCTGCTGTGAAATACCTGGAGGGCTCAGCCCTCACGCAGCAAGGCCTCAAGGGAGTGGTTTATGAAACTTGACTGAGAGCCCAGTCAAGAGGAGGAGGAGGAGGAGGAGGAGGAGGAAACACCTGCAGTTGTAAATGCCAGAGCCCCTCTCCTTGCCCCGCCCCCAGGCCCTTTGCATGCCTTGCTCATAAAAAAACAACAGCAGAGCCTTTGCACTCAATGCCAAGTTTTTGTTACATAGTAGTTTTCCCATCAAGCCATTTTGAACCAATTGGTTATTTCTTGATTTGGTTGAATTTAAGAGTTCTATTAAAACTTAGCCCTAAAACAACAAGTTTTTAATATTAAAGCCTTATTCTTCCAAAGCCCCAATTCTCAAATTATGAGTGGCCAAAATACCCTATGAACTGAGCTGCATTGTTGTGAAGTGAACACTGACCACTGAAGGGGTGGGAAGACCCGGTCTTCAACGACTGTGGCTGCTGATACTGGAACCCCAGCCACAGCCGCGATGGTTTCAGCCGAGCCACGACGCAGCCCAGCCACCTGAGGGAAGGCTGCCATTCAGCGGCCCGCACCACTGCAGCCAGGCACAGCCTGACCTTGTACTGTACGTGCTCACAGCATCAGGCTGCCTGACTTTGTGGTGGATTTTCTAAAAACCCTTCTTTGTTAGCTTTTGCTGCGACTGAACAGAGAACTTGTCCACGGGTGCCCTCAAGTGAAGCTCTAGGGACACTTGAGGTGAGATCAAAGACAGTATTTTGACAAAATGTGAAGTGGCAATTGATTTATGCTACACTGTTTCACGAAACTGAATAAAAGTGTCACGGGTCAAAAAGAAAAAAGAAAACTGGAAAATAATAAATGTTGGTAAAGATGTGGGAAAACTGACTGCTATTAGCAGCAAGGTAAAATTAAAGGAAGGGCTTATCTATCTTGGATTTCATGCACTGAACGATCTTAATTATACAAATGAACATGCACAGGTCTCACATGATTAATGAGGTAAAACTAAAACCATAATAGTAAGGGGAGGAAATATTAAAGAACTAGAACAGTGGCTGTCAACCTGTGGGTCGCCACCCCTTTGGGGGTCAAACAACCCTTTCACAGGGGTCGCCCGATTCATAACAGTAGCAAAATTATAGTTATGAAGTAGCAATGAAAATAATTTTATGGCTGGAGGGGGTCACCACAACCTGAGGAACTGTATGGGAGGGTGGTGGCATTAGGAAGGTTGAGAACCTCTGAACTGGAGGATAGTTACGTGTCTCATCAGTGCTATACTGCACAATGGATGTATCACCCCTTCCGTGTGGTCCTTCTGTGAGGGAATAATTATTATACTGGTGGGTTTTCGGTCTCCACTTTGTCTATGCTGCTTCACGTCAATCTGATTGCTTGTTTTTGAATTTCTGATACCTACTCTCATCGACACCTCATGATCACACAGGCTGGTGTGCTTCTTCCATGGGGACTTTGTTGCTTCCCTGCTAGATGACTGCTTGTTTACCTTCAAGCCTTTAAGACCCCAAATGCTATATCTTTTAAAAGTTGGGCACCATTCGCCTTCTAACCACATTTGTTTAAGCACCCACTTTGTCTTCAGCGATTACAGAAGATGAGTATCCACTATTCCACATAATTAGAACAAACAGAGGTAAGATTTAAGTAGAGGCCCAAAGTCCATCTGCTTCCTTATTGTGTGTGTGTGTGTGTGTAATTTTTACTTTCTTATTCCTAACCTTTTTATGTTCATTTGTATAATTAAGATCATTTGATGCATAAAATCCAAGATATATAAACCCTTCAGCAACAGTAATGGGAGTAAGGATTCCCTGAGAGTATGCAGAGGGGGTGGGGAGGGGAGAACAACACCCATGGACTGATAGCAATGACTATATAACCCCATTCAAGGGGAATGAATAACAGAATTATAGGTCGATGGATATATTGGATGGTATAAGATATGGCAAAATAATAATAATAAAGGTTCATGGGGGTAGAAAAGGTAAGGGAGTGTGATAAAGGGGACCTGATATCAAAGAGTTCAAAGAGACAGAACATGTTTTGAAACTGATGGTGGCAGTAATTGTACAACAATGCTTGATTTAAATGAATTATAGGTTGTTATAATACCTGTAAGAGATCCCAGTAAAATGATTTTAAAACAAAAACCACAGAAGAGCATAAAAGAAAGAAAATTGAGTGAAATGGGACCTATTATTTCTTTAGAAAGAGATTTTTCTTTTTAATTTTTTTTTCAAAAAATAATTTATAGTCAGAACTAGAGAACCCAAAGCAAAATTGAACTAAAAAGCAGCAGCATGAATTTTCCTCTAGTTCTTGAATGCTTCCTTCCTCCCCCGAGCCCCCACCCCACCCCTATCATGATCCCTATTCTACCTTACAAATCTGGCTACACCGGAGGATGTACACTGGTAGCGATAGGAACTGGAAACACAGGGAATCCAGGATAGCTGAACCCCTCAGGACCAGTAGTGAGTGGCGATATCAGGAGGGTGAAGAGAAGTTGGAAAGGGGGAAGTGATTACAAGGATCTACATATAACCTCCTCCATGGGGGATGGACAGCGGAGAAGTGGGTGAAGGGAGATGTCAGATGGTGTAAGATATGACAAAATAATAATAATTTATAAATTACCAAGGGTTAATGGGGGGGGAGCAGGGAAGGAGGGGGAAAAATGAGGACCTGATACCAAGGACTGAAGTAGAAAGCAAATGTTTTGAGAATGATGAGGGAAACAAACGTACAAATATGCTTGACACAATGGATGTATGTGTGGATTGTGATAAGAGTTGTACGAGCCCCCAATAAAATGATTTAATTATTTTTTAAAAAGCAGCAGCATTAATGAAGATTTCTAATGTCTCTGCTTATTATAAACAAGATAAAAATACATACTTCTGAACGGGTCCTGTGTGCTTGACTTCTCGCCATTCTTCTTCTGCATTAGATGTAATAGAAAGTGAGTAGCAACCGCTACTTTGCTTTTGCATTAAGGTGTAAGTAGGCGTGGCTGCATTTATATTTGCAGACTGATGGAAAGTAGCACAGAAAGAGTTTTGTAAGGGTACATAAATGCAAACAAACATAGTAACTATCTACAGCACAAAATCAAAACCTAGGCTTCCAGGAGAAAATATTCTGACAAAAGAGTATTTTGATGATGTACGTTTTGTATTTTCAGAACTTCTATAAAGTAATATATAGTGATGTAAAAATAACACTGTGGATCAGGAGATACTATATACACAATAGCTGAGTTTAATGGAAGTATTATTTCCAAACTTGGGCTCTATAAACTAAAATTGGATTTGAAAACATCACACCTGAAAGTGAATAAAACCCCAAACTGGCTGCCAGCGAATCAATGCTGAATCATAGAGATCCCAGAGATGTCAAGTTGGTGAAAATAAAAATTTTCAATGATGAGAAACTGAGTGTTATAACATTAACATAAATTTTATTATTAAATGGGAAAGCTGGAAATAAATTTGTATATATAACAACTGTGGAATATTTTTACGACAGTATGCACAGTTAAGTATTCAAAGCTCATCCTTCACAAAGTGGCTTTCTAAAAGTAAGTATTAAACCCAGATTAGGCCCTTAAGTCTCAAAAACTCATTTTTCGGGTCGATTCCAACTCATCCTGACCCTATACGACAGGGTAGAACTGCCGCTGTCTTTGTTAGGCTGTAACTACTTATGGGAGCAGAAAGCCTCGTTTTCTCTCCCGCAAGCACAGCTGGCCTTGAGATTAGCAGCTCAATGTGTAAACTGCTACACCACCAGGACTCCAGTCAAGCCCGTGGATAGAATATATGTACACACAAACAAATAGCTGCCTAAATACTCATATACAATAGCAGCCTTAGGAGCATTTTCCTTCCTAGAAGTACAAACTACACCTATGTGACCAACCTCCTATACAACTAAACATGGTATATTTTTTAACTTACTGTTTCAGGCTAATTGCATACTTATAAAAAAGTTGCAAAAAATTATTTTTCACCCAGATCCCCAAAATGTTAACATCTTGTATGCCCCAGTACAATGATTAAGACTAAGAAATTAAAATGAATAATCATATAGTACTATTAACTAAAATGTGACATTCATTTAAATTTCACCCACTTTGCGGGAGTGCCCTTTTCTGTGCTAGTAGCCTGTCACTCCTGGACCCCTAGTGATCTAGAACCATGACCTGACACATTGACACATGCCCATTAGTTACTTTCCAACTGAACTTATCTTGATTTTCCTCGTCATCCGATTGAGGATCTAATTTACTGGGAAGAATATCATAGAAATAACCCTTTTCAGTGCATGATATCAGGACAGGACGTTATGCTGATGTCCTATTGGTGATTTTTACTTTGATCACTTGATTAAGGTGGTTTCTGCCAAGTTTCTCTATTGTAAATTTATTGTTTTTCCTTTTGTGTTAATATCTTGGAATAATTACCTTGAAACTATGCAAATAACTTATTTTTCTTTAAATTTCCACCTATCAACTTTAGCATCCATTAATGGACCTTGTCTGCAACAATTACTGTTGGTGTTTTAACAGTATTTTCATATTTCCCTCATTCCTTTTATACTCAATTAATTGAAACTTTTCTCTAAAGAAATATTAATTCTTCTATTTATTATTCATTCATTTAGTTGCCTATTTATACCAATATAGACTCATGGGTATTTATTTTATTCTTTGGTTCTAATTTTATACTATCCTGGTTTTATGGATCCTACTATTACAGCTTTGTTTGACATTGGGACTCTTTCAGACTGACTCACGCACCCTTCAATCAAAAGCGAGCATTTTGAAATTAGCCTAATTTCCATGAAAACTTTTATCCAACACCCATACAAGCAATCGTAATCAAATGCTAACCTGAGCTACTGATATCACCTTCATTTCTTCAACAGCGGCAGCAGGGAAAGAAAAAGTTGAAGCACAGTAATAATGAATAAAAGAGCTTTCTTTTGAAGAGAGGCTCTGAAACAATGGAAATGCCTGAATCCAGGACAACGGATAAGCAAGCTCTACTTCTCCACTGGTCGTGCTGATTTCCGTCATGATATCTTTCAATTTCAGTTCTTCTCTGTGTGAAATAGGATTATGCAGCTCAAGGAAAATAAATTCACTGGACTTAGCTATAGAAGAAAAAAGAAACCAACCCTTTATTCACAGTACTGATTTTCAAGGAAGTTATCACTCAAATAACTACTATTCCGAAGACAACGACTTCTGTCTACTCAGGGTGCTGTGAGTCTGAGCCTCTACAGCGCCTCACAACAACAGGAAAGGTGGAATGCAACCCAACAAAGTATTCTGAATGTTAGGTAACAGCCCAGCAGACAAACACTCCAACATGTCAGACTCACGTCTCTGACTTCAGAAGGGGTGGTGTCCCACCGTGGTACGCCCTGTCACTATCTCCATAGGTGCTAAGTATAGCTTTGCTAGTGAATTTAAAAATAAATGAATAAGTGAAAATTAATCAACTAATAATTTTTCTAGCCTTCTACCCATATCGTATCTATCAATTAAGAAATTATAAAATCAAACATCTCCCTCAAAATCATTTTCCATAAACAACCATTTTAACAATAGTCCCATAAATCATCCTCTTCTACCCTAATAAAGATTACAAAAGGGCTCCAAACCACAGAGAAGTATCATTAAAAGATCGTGGGGTTTTCCCAGGAACATTTCAAAGCTCCATCATAAAACCTGACGTTTTAGGTTTCCTCGGCATCTGCACTATTTAGTCACAGGCTTCTCCGACTAACTAGCAAGTAATTAGGACAGAAAAACAACTAAATTTAAAGGTTAAAAAAAAATTACCACTTACCAAATTTTTTATTAATCAATAGTAACTAAGGGAGGCGGTACGGAGATGAAAGAAGTAAGGACATTTTTAGAACTTGGAGAATCGTTTAGGGTCGTCCTAGCTATACCCCTACGTTATGCAGAGGTCTGCAATGCAGGATTAGAGGAATGACGTATAAACAAACTTAGCACTTTTTTAAAGATCAATTACAGGAAATGTTGAAGATAAAGACTTCAATATTTTACTTAACTTTACCACTGATTACCTCTGCACAGTTTATTATGAAACAAGAATAAGAAACTTAGAAAAGAGATAGCAAAAGATGACGGCCAGCTAAAAGGCTGTAATACTCTTTTTACATTTGAAGTACATTTTACTTGGTTGAATAAAACTACTAGGAGAAATTAATGTAAGTAAATATAATCATTACATTTTTTAAAATTTCATTCCATGAAATAACTGCTTTATTTTAGATTTTCAGGTAATCCTCAAATTCAGAACTCAGTTTATACTCACATTGCTGGCTTAATGCAGGATTTTCTAACTGCGTCTGAATCTCTTGAAGATAAACTGGAGAAACCCAGAGGAAAAGGATAGCATGGTTCCTCTTAGTGGGGTCATCGTCCTGACTTTTCCACAAGCCAAACCTCTTTAAATGCGCAGTGTCCACTAGCAATGAAACCTCATGGAGGGACACTGAAACAAATAAAAGCAACAACTCATGGAAACTGACCACTTTTAATACATTATTTTTCAAAGTCATATGCAAAGTGCCTCAGAAATATATTGTTATGTCAGAACAACTTCACAGTAATGCGTGGCTTTAAATATATTACAGCAATAATTAAATTTAGGAATTCAGATTTTTGAAAACGTTTGGCTGAAGGTTTCCAGAGCAGATAATCGGTGTGACATCAGCAATCCATACACATTTTGCTTCGTGTCCCTGATTCACGTGCCGTCACTTCTCTCTTTCCCCGTGTCCTATTCCATTCCCTTCTGTCTGCTCGCCCACACGTGTCCTTGGGTAAACGCTGCCTCTTGTATCTCAAATGGTTGAGTGTCCTGTGGTGTGCATACCTCACTCCTGCTATTAATTCCTTTGTCAGCCTAATGTTTGGCTGAAAACTGAGCTCCTTTACTATTTAATTAAAAGGCATTAAAAGAAAGTTTTGCTGTTTTTAAGTTAAAACATCTTAGCTCCTTTTAAAGTTGCTTTTTAAAAAGCTTAGTAAATATGAATTACGTCATTAAACTGCCATAGTTTTGTTTACATTCAATACAGAAAAAGAATTATGAAAAACTGGTTAGACCAATCACAATGATCTACATATACTGTAACCCCATCCCTGGGGGATGGACAACAGAAAAGTGGGTGAACGGAGACATCGGTCAGTGTAAGACATGAAAAAACAATAGTAATTTATAAATTATCAGGGGTTCATGAGGGAGGGAGGGGGGAAAATGAGCTGATACCAAGGGCTCAAGTAGAAAGAAAATGTTTTTAAAATGATGGCAACAAATGTACAAATGTGCTTGACATAATGGATGGATGGATTGCGATAAGAGCTGTATGAGTCCCTAATAAAATGATTTTTTTTTAAACTGGTTAGAAAAGCATTTTGGAATTCTTACTAACCCCGTGTTTTATTTTATATTCAAAATTACACTGAAAAAAGGTCATAAGACAATGAAAGCTTACCTTGAAATGGAATCTTAACATACTTTGTCGTGAACTTAAAGGAAAAATAAAAAAGCAAAAATTTAGTTACTACCCAAAATTACTATAGAAAATTTTTATTTTTTCTCTTTTTCATAGAACAAGTACATATTCAGTCTATCCTAAAAACCCTTTTATCAATAAACCATGAAAATGTTTCATGATAAAGAGTGTATGTAAGTGTAAAAATTCTGTAAAAGAAATTTAATTTTCAGTATATTCATTCATAAAAACAGTAATACATGTTTTAATATTCTCTGAAGATTTAAAGACAAGTACGACCAAGTTAAGTTGTATCCAGAAAAACTACCAACAGACTTGAAGGAAGCGGTGATTTTGAAAAATATGCCACCACGTACATGCCACAAAATAAGGTTTGATTCAGAATCTGACAGCTCGGCCAAAGGGACCATTCTCTTAAGCATGAACTCCTAACAACCGAGCTCACGAGACTGCTGAACAAAACAAAACGGCCAGTATACAGCTACATGTGTTGTATTCGTTTTAATGAGAAATTAAAAGGGTCAAAACGGTCTAATTTGTGTCCCATCGGGCATAAACAGTCTGTTTCTGTAGAAAAACTACCTGGTGAATCCAACTACAATCAGAAGGTTGCTTTCACCGTAGTGAAGTAGACGATCCGTTCACTCCAAATAGCTAAAATAAAGAAGTGTAAGACATTCAATACCACAAGTAGGGCGCAAAGCATGGCCAGAACGCAGGTCACCGTCCACAAGATAACGTTTAATGACGAGCCCTGCCAATGCTTTCGTCTTTCTTGGTTCCACGTTATAGACTGTCTTCTGGCCGGAAATATATATATATATGTATGTATAGATATTCACACATAGCAGGGTTCCCGTTCCTTGTTAATCTAAGTGATGATTTACCTGTTGCTTGGATAATAATTAGCTAAAGCTTACATGTGCTCTCTGAAAGAGGTGTGTGCTTTAAAGCTTGTTTTTCCCATTAGTGACAAATGAAAGTGCGCTTTAGTTCTATGGTTAACTTTCTCTTTTGATAAATACATTTATGATTTTTTTTTAAACCATAAGAATAGTCTCATTGGAAAGATGACTATAGTGGATCAAAACCTTGTCCCTTTGATCTCCCCTCTGATACACTTTAGGCTCGATCTGGTTTTCAATGTTTTCTGAATTGTCTGGGTTTGGGGGGTTTTACTCACACTGGGGTTTATCACTGATGCGTTCTGTAGGTAGCCTTCTTGAATCTTAGGTGTTTTTGTTTTGTTTTTTAGTGTATAGAGAACCTACAGAGATAACCATTAGAAGAGGGGTTCTTGGAGGGTACCATGAGGAGGGGAGGGGTGGCAAAGGCAGCCTGATATCAAGGAGTTCAAGAAGGACGAGAACGTTTTGAAAGTAATTGTGATAGAAACTGAACACTATTGTTTCATATGGTTGAACTAGGGAATGGTATGCTGTGTGGATTAGCTCCTAATAACACGTTTGGCAAAAAAGAATCAGTCTCAGAACACAAAGCGTAATGGAAAATGGTCTTACATATTACACTGGTTCTTTGATCTCATAAAATACACCTTCAACAAATATAAATAACTAGTTCTCGAAAATTAGTATAGCAGGTGTTTGCTTTTGAGGTTTTATGTGGTCATTACTGAAACATACAGTCATAATGCCAACAAAGACAAGATTATAAAGTAGCAAAATTAGTTAGGAGGTAGCAACAAAAATAATTTTATGGTTGGTGGAAGGGGTCACCACAACATGAGAAACTGTATTAAAGGGTCATGGCATTAGGAAGGTTGAGAACCACTGGCTAGAGACTGAGTTAATTTCTAAATTACTGAGCATCAGTGAGTTAGTTTATTGTGCCAACCTGGCTGATAAACACATGGGGTTAATTGAAGGGTGGAGGGATAATTTGGCTTAGTGAGCCTCGCCTTTTTAGTTTTCGGGTCTCTTGCTTTGTGATGGTCGGACCAGGGTGCAGCTGCCTTAGCAGTTCC